AAGTGGGCCCTGGTCAAAAAAAAGTTGGGAACCACTGGTCTACACTGACCATATAATGCAGTTTCAAATTGTATTAAATTGCAATGTAGATGGGATCTAGGAATCTCTATGATCAATCACCAACAAATGTTGATAATCCTAGTTCATCCTAGGTTACAACTTCTCTAGAAATGTCTAGGTCTTTTTATGCAGTGGCCACAGTATCTGCTAGACTTGGGCCCAAATCAGTTTGACTGAAAGTGATTTGTAATATTCAGTGTTCCATTTTGTGTAATCCTCTGAAAACAGAATGGGGAGGAGGGAACTGAAAAGCTCGACAAAATGGATCAGAGAGCTGGATTTATCGGCTACTGGAAAGGATGGTGTTAAGTCTGCACTATACCTGAGGCAGTAGTCAGCTGCAAGGCTCCTGGAGAAGATCCTGCAGCATCTTTTCTCCAGGGTCTGGAGAACAAGCCCTACGAGGAGCGGCTTAGGGAACTGGGCATGTTTAGCCTGAAGAAGAGAAGGCTGAGAGGAGATATGATAGCCATGTATAAATATGTGAGAGGAAGCCACAGGGAGGAGGGAGCAAGCTTGTTTTCTGCTTCCTTGCAGACTAGGACGCGGAACAATGGCTTCAAACTACAAGAGAGGAGATTCCATCTGAACATTAGGAAGAACTTCCTGACTGTGAGAGCCGTTCAGCAGTGGAACTCTCTGCCCCAGAGTGTGGTGGAGGCTCCTTCTTTGGAAGCTTTTAAGCAGAGGCTGGATGGCCACCTGTCAGGGGTGATTTGAATGAAATATTCCTGCTTCTTGGCAGGGGGTTGGACTGGATGGCCCATGAGGTCTCTTCCAACTCTTTGATTCTATGATTCTATGATTCCCCAGCAGTAGAAAAGTTCCCTAGGCTCCTCCTCCAGAGAGGGCCCTACTGAGAACTCACTTTTCCAGCAGCACTTGCATGGGTTGGGCATTGAAAAGTGTTTGAGTTCCTCTCAGAGCATGATGGGAGTTGAAGTTTCTCTCTCTCTCAGCCAATAAAAAACCTGGTTGTGTCCATGCTCTGATTGACTGAGAATGAACATAACTGGCAACTACAATTCCCAGAATTCTCTTGAATTTTGTCTTTTTTTAAAAAATGTGATGTTAAAAACTTAAAATTGTTCTAAAAAATCAGTAGATTGGTGAATTGTTCTGAAACTTGACAAGTCTGCAGTTGTAAATGGGGTCTAAAACTGAGGTATGTTTCATGCAGATAGGCTTTAAAATGACTGAGGATTGAGCCTTTATATTTTCCCATTCTAGCCAATGGGTCGAATCTTTGTCGAATAAAAATGGCAACACTTCTCCCAATTCAAGTGACTTCCCGGTAAACAGAATGAGGGGTTACTCAAAAATGACACCAAAAGGGCATGCCTTTTGGTCAAATTGCAAACATCTAGTATACGCTGGCTTCAGACTGGAACCAACGCCAGGAATGTTTATTTTTCTTAACCAGTCCACTGAAATGTGCTGATGCTTATCTTCATTTTTATTCGGGATCAGTGCTGGACTATGGCAGGACTCGGAAAATGAGAACAAAGGGGTGGAAAGCAAGAATTCTCATGGAAATTATGTGGTTTGCCTTCTGGAGGAGTACTTATTTGCCTTCTGGTCAGCTGTATTTTGGCGTTTTTTAAAAAGTGTGTCAGTGTTAGTGGTATCCTGACAAACACTCCACATTTTTCCATCCCAGTTTCAAGATCAGCATGAGATATACTGTGATCGGCTGCAGAGCATTATCTGCCTTATTTCGGACTTTATGGGTTTTTTTTCAGCACACTGTTTCCAGCTTTGGGGATGCGTGTTTTGTAGACATTAGGCATGGTTAGGTCCAGTCGGAACTTTCATTATTCGGAATAAAGTCAGAAAGATTTCCTTTTTAAAGCAATTTTGAAGTTTTTAAGAAAACCCGGATGTTCCTTTGCCATTTCGAAGCTTTTTCGCCATTTTTTTAACAACTCATGAAGTGAATCGGAAATGATTAAATGATTCAGTTTCCCCTTTATAACTCGCTTCTGTGACTTTAAAACTGGCTGGCTTTAATGGCTTGAGGTAGAAGCGGAACAAATTCATGCTTCTCCCTTATAACTCGCCACTAAATCCGGCCAGTTTTAAAGTCACAGAAGCGAGTTATAACCCGCTCCTGGAGCAAAACAACTACTTTCAAAGTAGAGACCATGCAATGAAACAGGAAATAACACTTTCAAACTATTAAAGATTCGAAAGTCTCGGAAGGTTCAAAAAGTTTTGAACTTTTTTTTCTGTGAAAATAGGAATTGACTTTAGAATCAAACCACCGGCGCCCCCTACATCCGAAATGAGTTTTGAACTAATTTTTCTTGGATCAAACAAGCCTAGTAAACATGCCATCCTCAAACCATCTTCAAGTTGCATTATATGGCCTGTAATGGACTGCCTTTAGCCATAAAGTTCTAAATAATTTTGGGCTAAGATGTTTGAAAGGCTGCATATTTCAATGACCCTATGTGAGCACTAAATTCAGGATGAAAGGAAAAGAGTGCCCCCATCATTTAGAAAAATGTTTTCATAGAATTATAGAATCAAAGAGTTGGAGGAGACCTCATGGGCCATCCAGTCCAACCCCCTGCCAAGAAGCAGGAATATTGCATTCAAATCACCCCTGACAGATGACCATCCAGCCTCTGTTTAAAAGCTTCCAAAGAAGGAGCCTCCACCACACTCCAGGGCAGAGAGTTCCACTGCTGAACAGCTCTCACAGTCAGGAAGTTCTTCCTCATGTTCAGATGGAATCTCCTCTCTTGTAGTTTGAAGCCATTGTTCCGTCCTAGTCTCCAGGGAAGCAGAAAACAAGCTTGCTCCCTCCTCCCTGTGGCTTCCTCTCACATATTTATACATGGCTATCATATCTCCTCTCAGCCTTCTCTTCTTCAGGCTAAACATGCCCAGCTCCTTAAGCTGCTCCTCATAGGGCTTGTTCTCCAGACCCTTGATCATTTTAGTCGCCCTCTTCTGGACACATTCCAGCTTGTCAATTCTGGTGCCCAGAATTGGACACAATATTCCAGGTGTGGTCTAACCAAAGTGGAATAGAGGGGTAGCATTACTTCCCTAGATCTAGACACTATGCTCCTATTGATGCAGGCAAAAATCCCATTGGCTTTTTTTGCCGCCACATCACATTGTTGGCTCATGTTTAACTTGTTGTCCACGAGGACTCCAAGATCTTTTTCACCCGAACTGCTCTCAAGCCAGGCATTGGTCCCCCATTCCGTATCTTTACATTTCATTTTTTCTTGCATTTGTCCCTGTTGAACTTCATTTTGTTAGTTTTGGCCCATATCTCTAATCTGTCAAGATCGTTTTGAATCCTGCTCCTGTCTTCTGGAGTATTGGCTATCCCTCCCAATTTGGTGTTTTGTAGGGATATAAGACTGAATCTTTGTAGTTTTGGCATTATCTCCCTTTCTCTTTCTTAAGTTTTCATCAGTCTTTAGTGTGGGTTAAAATTATATTATCATTACAGTGGATTGCTTAATTCTAGTCTTTGTCTTATTGTACAAAATTGGAATCTAATACTCAAACTGTTTTTAAAAATTGTGTTTTGAACATTTTATGCTTTTCTATTTGTAAAGACGCAAAATTCCGATTAAAAAGCCCACTTTTCATTTTCAAAAATGCTTGTTCACAACGAAAGGATGTGGCTCAATGTAATTAAGTATTTCTTTGTTTGTCCATACGTGACAGGAAATGTTTTATAACATCCTGGCTCATTTGTGTGGATGGCGATGTTGAGCAAACTCAGCTGATGCCCATATAATGAATTGCTGTGATATTCGATAAGAATATATTTAGACTACACTTGAGGTTACTCAGCTAGCAAGTTATCTCTGCTCCACAAGCAAGTCACGTCTGTATCTAACATTCCAAAGTGTTGAGCCACTGTTCAGGTTGCCATTAAACATACAAACATGCTGTGCTACAAGCTGTTTTGTCTTACTCTCCAATCTGGTTCAGAATATCTTTCTATTATTGCATGAATGCATCCATTGCCCGTCTGTTTAAGCCTTGCAGAATCTGTAAATTTGTGGTTGTGAATTTCCATAGGGAGGCAATATTATGCCCCTTTTAGAGACCATTGAAAGCAAATTTGACAAAGCTTTCTGGAAGGAGGGAACTTGATTCTTCAACAAAATTCGCAGTGGTGTAAAAAGAGCAGGCTGTAAGCCCTCGTTCTTGTGTTTGGGGGCGGGGGGAACTATCGTTGTACAGTAGAATGACACACAGTTGAATTCAGAAATAACATAAAAGGTGGATAGTTTGTGCCTTGGCACTTCATGTCTTCCATCTGATGAAGCATACTAAAGTCAGGCAAACTGGCATTGCAGCTGGACTGTCACTTTCTTCACAGAAACCACTCAAACTATTTCAAAGCAATCACTTTTAAGGAGCCCCCGGTGGCACAGTGGGTTAAACCCCTGTGCCGGCAGGACTGAAGACCAACAGGTCGCAGGTTCGAATCCGGGGAGAGGCGGATGAGCTCCCTCTATCAGCTCCAGCTCCTCATGCGGGGACATGAGAGAAGCCTCCCACAAGGATGATAAAAAACATCAAAATCATCCGGGCGTCCCCTGGGCAACGTCCTTGCAGATGGCCAATTCTCTCATACCAGAAGCAACTTGTAGTTTCTCAAGTCACTCCTGACACGATAAAAAAAACCCTTTTAATTATGTGCAAAACATGACCTTCCTATTCTTTACTAAGGTTTGAAATTCTGGAAGAGAAATGGAGATGAGCTGGCCCATTGTAGCTGTGTTGGAGTTAGGAAGAGCCAGGATCTGTCTGTAGGTGTGCAACAGTTTTTGGGGAGGATATTTGTGACCACCTTGTGACAGATCCAGCTATCATTATTATTGAGTTAACAGGATTACATGTATTTGATTGATCCTATATTTGATTTACTAAAAGCATTCCAATTTCTTCTCTTTCAACAGATGCACGAAACATTTCACAATTCTGTATTAAGGCATAAATACAGAGGCTCACGGCTTGTCAGGGTGAGGTATGTAAACCTATAATCCATGGGAAAATTATCTTCCCTTTCTCAGCACAGGTCATGGGTGTTATCACCATTGTGTATCTGTGTTAACATTTGTTCAGTTAGTTCTGTGCTTGATCACAGATAAATAATTGAGTTCTTTACTTGGGAAATAAGGCACCTTCATCTCAGTTAATGCACAAAATTATTACAATTATACATTTTACCAAATATTTGTAAAGGCCACATTATATTCCTTCATGGTTAAGCAACAAACCAAGGGAGAATGAATAAATCCATATTTATTTTATTTATTTCTCGTGTCAGGGCAGCCAGTCAAATATATTACATTTCTAACAGAACAAAGCAAACAAACAGAGAAAATACAAAATGTGTGAGTTTGGTAGTTGATTAAATGTCCTTTGACCAGTATTTGGCCACTTGGAGTACTTCTGGTGTTGCTGCATGAAGGTCCTCCATGGTGCATGTGGCATGTGGCAGGGCTCAGGGTGTAATAAATCCATAAACCAACTGTGATGCTAAACAGAACCATTAGTATTTCAGTAATAATAATTAGTTTTTCTATACTGGAATTATATGGTGCTTCCATATTGCCCAAAATGATGGATCATGTTGCATTTGAGACAACATATAAAGAGAAAACCCACCTCATTGGTGGGGAATGATGTGGTTATACATCCCAGCTGTACCAATGTGTTCTCTGCCTGAGTGAGCATGGCCAGTGCTACCCTTCCCTCCCTGCCCCCATTTTGCCCGAAAAACAAAGACACTGCCTGCTTACCATTGCTGGAGGCTTCCATCATTCTCTGTGATCCCAGATGTCTGTTTCCACCATACCTGCAAAGATCCAGACCTTTGTAGATATTTTTTTAATCTGAGTGTAAATTACATTAATAAGAATAATAATTTTATTTCTTACCTGCCTCCCCTTGTGGCTCAAGGAGAGGCAGGTATCTTCCAGCAGGTTGTTCCACAGTCTTTGGGAGGCTTATAAGGTCATCTGGGTAGTAGGCCAGAGTAGCCACCCCCCCAGAGGACCTAAGTGTTCAGGACAGATTGTACAGGAGAAGGGCTTTAAACATTAAATGGTTTACTCTGGGTTACTCCACATTACCTTGTGTCAGCTCACAGCAGCCGTTCCCAATAAAGACACAAGACTTCGATCCGTTATCAAAGAGAATCTTTACTACTGGATACATGAACACATGAAAAGCCGAGGTTGACCAGCAGCCGCTGGTCACTCCTTATATACACTCCCCCTCATTTGAAGGTACAATTCCCGCCAAGTGAAAAACCCCGTGCAATGTTCCCTCCAAACTATAAACCGTTGTCTTCCAAGGTCGACAGCTGCAGAGTTCTTATCAAAGTCTTACGTCAGGACCCTAGTTTTCAGTGCCAAAACTGAGGGCCTGGAAACTGGATCCTGACAACCTTGGGTACATTGATCAGATGCCACAGGCTAATGTGACATCTACAGTGCATATCCCAGTAGTTTACATGGGCCCACATCTTCCAGTTTCTATCGATCCCACCAAGCCTCACCAGTGGGAATAATAGTTCATCAGTATGGAGGACTACATTCGAGATGAACAATTGTTGTTTGTGATGAACAAACTGAATTACAAGATTCAGCCAGTCGCTTTATCCGATTTCATTTCTTGATCCTAAGACAAAGTCTCCAACAGTGTTTGGATCTGTTCTGTTTTATATTTTTTGCTTACCAGCTACCTATAATTATGAACTTGTCCTGTTTAGGTGTGTGATCAATTTCCTCCTGTTTTCGAGTGTAGTATCTTTCGGTTTCTTCTACTACTACTTCTGCAGTTGGAGTATAAATGTGAATCTTGGTTATATTTATTATTTGAACTTGGATATGGATAGATTTTCCCTCATGGCTTATTGATATGATTCAGTCAGACTCTGTATTATATCTCCTGACTATATTACTTCTCAACTATTATCTCCTGACTACATTACTCCTCACACCTCTTATTTAATTTCATTTCCTGAGTGTATAATTCTGTCCAATCCCTCTCCACTTCAGCTTACTCACTCTAAATATTGCATTATTTTTACATTCTATTTCACATTAATACTTTTCACATTTGATTTTTTTTCAAAATGTTTTTATTTTATCAAGACCTCATTATACAAATACAGAAAGAAACTAACCTCTGATAGGGGTATTACTTGAAATCATGTTTATTTGTTTTGGTCAATGAACTTCTTCTGAGATGGGAGAAATTATTAATGACTGTTCATTCATTGATGGGTCTATGGCTCATAATAAATATTGTGTGTGTATATATTATACAAATAGTAAAACCAGTGATTATGTTAAAAACTAAACACTAAAAATCTAATTCCCTACCCACTTCACCCTATAAACTCTATCTATAAGAAAAGGAAAGATATAAAAGCAACTAACGTTAATATATTCCCACCTCCTAACTTAAATAATAAAAATATTATCTTATAATCTTCTCTATTTCCACTTTACAGACTCATTATTGTATATGCATCTCCAAAACCCATAGGACCTTTGGCATGACTCTGTGGGCCAACTATATTTTTAAAATCTCCATGCCTTTGCAAGAACACTTTCTCTTAGTGAGAGGTTTATATTCCCTTTTTAAACAGAAGCTTGTGCACAATTATGGCATTTATACAGCACTTTATATAAGCCCTTAATAGCCATATATGACAAGTCATTGTCATGTTACCCTGTAGTAACACTATACCAGGTGCCTTAGTTTTAATCTGGAGATGAACATTAACACAGTCAATTGTGGATATGAATGACTTTGGGGGTGGCATGCTTAAATGAATGTTCTCTATCAATGTTATACTATTGGCTGAAGTACTTTTTATTTATTTATTTATTTCGAGGTTTTATATACCGACCCTCTCACCTTCAAAGAGGGATTCGGACCGGTTCACAACATGTGTTAACATAAAAAAAATATACAATAACAACACAATGCCACTTCATTACACGATTAAAATATCAGCACCATACACATTAAAACATTATCATCCCAGTTAAAAGAGCCAAATCGTCCGACACCATCACAATCCCATTCATCATCCTCCTTTCATGTGGGCAAAGAATTAAATCAGTTGTCAAATGCTGCGTTCCACAACCAGGTCTTTGTTAGTTTCCTGAAAGTCATGAGGGAGGGGGCAGTTCTGATCTCTAATGGCAGAGAGTTCCAAAGTTGAGGGGCCACCATCGAGAAGGCCCTGTCCCTCGTCCCAACCAGCCGTGCTTGTGCAGGCGGAGGGACCGAGAGCAGGGCCCCTCCAGACGATCTTAGTGGTCTTGATGGTTCGTGTGGGAGAATACGTTCGGAGAGGTAAACAAAGCAATCGGCATTTAGGCCAGCTGTTTCTCTAGTGCCAGAAATGGTCTGGCAGTCCACGAATCTGTTTCAATAAGAGAGATGCATGTTTCCTATAGCCAGGTTCAACCAGCAGCTTGGATACAGCATTTGGACCTGTTAAAATTTCTGGGCACTTTCGAAAGACAAAGAGTGCTTTACAGTAAACCAATTGGAATGCGTCCAAGACATGTGTCATCATAGACAGATCTGACATTTCCAGGAATAGAGCAATTAGCTCACTACTTTTATCTAAATACTGGGCTTCCAGGTTTAGCTCTGAATTCAGGAGTACACTAAAGCTGCAAATCTGAGAGTTCAAGGGGACTGCAACTATATCTAGTAGGCATGGTTAGATTCGGTCAGAATCTTCATAATTTGGAATAAATTCAGAAAGATTTGCTTTTTGAAGTGATTTTGAAGTTTTTAAGGAAACCGGAAGTCCCTTTACCCTTCCGAAGCTTTTTCCGCAATTTCTATTACGAAGCAGTAAGTGAGTCAGAAATTATTCAGCATTTCTCTGCTTCTGGTCCTTGGCTCAAGCCTGGGAAGCCGTTTTAAAGCAGAGTGGATGAATTTCCTCCCTCTCCTCTCCCCTCGCTTCTGTCTGGAGCCTGGCAAGTGCTTAAAGAGTGGATGAATTTCCTCCCTTTGCTTCCCCCCTCACCCCCTCTCCCCTCCCCCTCATTTCTGAAATAAAACAACTACTTTCAAAGTAAAGACCACCCAATGAAACAGGAAATAACACTTTCAAAAGTTTCAAAAAGTTTTGAACATTTTTTTCTGTGAAAATCGGAATTGACTTTAGAATCGAACCACCAGCACCCTCTACATCCGAAACAGGTTTTGAACTTTTTTTTTTGGATCAAACAAAATGGATCAGTAATTGGTTAAATGGACGAACCCAGAGGGAGCTCACCAATGCTTCCTCTTCATCTTGGAAAGAAGTGACGAGCGGAGTGCCGCAGGGTTCCGTCCTGGGCCCGGTCCTGTTCAACATCTTTATTAATGACTTAGATGAAGGGTTAGAAGGCAGGATCATCAAGTTTGCAGACGACACCAAATTGGGAGGGATAGCCAATACTCCAGAGGACAGGAGCAGGATTCAAAACGATCCTGACAGATTAGAGAGATGGGCCAAAACTAACAAAATGAAGTTCAACGGGGACAAATGCAAAATACTCCACTTAGGCAGAAAAAACGAAATGCAAAGATACAGAATGGGGGATGCCTGGCTTGAGAGCAGTACGTGTGAAAAAGATCTTGGAGTCCTCGTGGACAACAAGTTAAACATGAGCCAACAATGTGATGTGGCGGCAAAAAAAGCCAATGGGATTTTGGCCTGCATCAATAGAATCATAGAATCATTCAAAGAATCAAAGAGTTGGAAGAGACCTCATGGGCCATCCAGTCCAACCCCCTGCCAAGAAGCAGGAATATTGCATTCAAATCACCCCTGACAGATGGCCATCCAGCCTCTGTTTAAAAGCTTCCAAAGAAGGAGCCTCCACCACACTCCGGGGCAGAGAGTTCCACTGCTGAACGGCTCTCACAGTCAGGAAGTTCTTCCTAATGTTCAGATGGAATCTCCACTATAGGAGCATAGTGTCTAGATCTAGGGAA